GACAGTCACGAGCCGCCACTGTGTGACATCTCCTATTTCTTTGATGATTGCTATTGACGACACATCCTCTTGCATTAAAATTTTTAATTATGTTCCAAATTGTTGCGAGAGACGGAATTGGCCTAGTAGGGTACTGTATCGAAAATAAATCCCTTACAATTCGTATGCTACTACCAGCTTGGTACCATTGCAGTATTTGAATTTTTTCTTCTGTCGAATACATTGTGTGCAAGCAGCTTTGACATTTTAGAAAACATTTCAAAGCATTCTATTTGATTCTACTTTTTTAAACGATGGACTTGTTGTAATGTTGGTTGCATTACAGTTGCAATTGACTGCGTCGTTTTAAAACTGAACATAGGCATATGTTCAGTTTTTAAAAAAATGCCCGGTATACATATTTACATGAAGCTCCCTCTGTCGACAAACTTGCCCCCCCTGAATAAGTTTTCTAGCTACGGGGCTGCTTCAAATACCTGTTAGGTATTGTATATCGCGGCCCTCACTGAAGCTTGGCTGCCTGTAAAAATTCAGATTCGCCTTGCAGAGAGAGTCCTCTGCATACATTGTGTCAGACTCGGTGTCAGACATTCAGTTAAAGCAAATATTTCTGCTGGTATGCTTATCCAGTGACATCGACAAATTGAGATTTGCCTCGTCCAAGTAAGTATACGTTGGAGCCTAATACTTTCCTGGAGACCCAACCGTTCGCATAGCAGGTGATCCAGCCCTTTTGCATCATGAATTCGGTATGTTCCTTCCACTCTTCCACTGGAGGTATCAGCACTTTGTATGAGTGGTCTGTCACTACAACGGAAATGTTGCCCTCAACATCCATCCTGAAGATGGAGTTGGTTTCCACTAACATTCTGGCAATGGTCCCATGGCTCCTCTCGTTGTAGTGTCTTTCCACTAACCAGAGCTGCAGAGTCTTAAAAATCCCAACCTAGCCGTCTCTATCACCGACAGATGAAGAGCAGACAGCCTGACTAGTAGGTATTTCCATTACAGCCGCTGGTGTGGTTCTCATTGCACCTGTTACAATAAGGCAGGACAGACATTGTGTTCTGTTCGAGCCAAAAAAGTTTCAGCTCACACTTTCATCGTCGAGTTCTTCCAAATAACGACACCGTAGAGGATCACCGGCCTTACCATACTGGTGTATAGCCAATGCATTACTTTAGGTGTTAAACGCCAAGATATTTCTACAGTTTTTCTGCACGTCCAAAGTGCTGACGTTGTTTTCTTCATCTAATTTGTTACGTGAGTCCACCAGGAAAGCTTGTAGTCCAGACAAATGTCTAGATACTTGACTCCTCTGTGTATACGCAGTGTTTTTCCAAAGAGTGCAGGGTCAGATTACTTTGTCAAACACCCCCTCTACATCCAGAAATGTTCCAAGTGAGTAAGATTCACCTTCGAACCTCGCTTCAATCGCCGTGGCGATTTGATACAGGGCGGATTCAATATACTTTCCCACCTAGTAAGTATGTTGATTAGGATGCAGGGGTATATTACCTAGCAACTCCCCCCGAACATGGCTGTTAATCAGTCGTTCGTAGTAAGTTAGTAGGAACCACAAAGTGTCTTCTATAGACACCATTAAGTCCCTTGATGGCGTACGCAGCAATCCCAGCTTTGCAGACGAGTCCTTAGTAAGGGTCTTCTGAAGTCTTGCTGCTTATGGAAGGTTGTCTATCTTCTCACAAAAGTCCTTCCATCTGTCTGTTTTCCTGCTTAGAATTGCAGATTTGAATTCTTTCTGAGGCCCTTTGTAGAGTTGGATGATTTGTCAAGTCAAGCCCTATTCCAAAGCGTCCTTGCAGTGTGTTTCAACGTACTGAGAGAGCCTCGTTATCGCTGTTCCATTTCTAGGCTCCCGTTCCGACTGTCATTGAATACTAAATCGGATGTATCGATGATCCAATGAACTTAGTTCTTTCGATATGTCAGTAATCCTTTCCCTCATTTTAGTGACGAAAGTAGGTTCGTTTCCATGGTTCAGAATGTCCAAATCCGTTGTAACAAGGTAATTCAGAAGAGCCTCCCCTCTGGAATTGACAACAGAACTTTCCTACACTGTGTGGTGTGAGTTCGCATCGCATCCTACGATGAGAAGCCGTTTCTTACCTTTGTTAAAATCTAGTACCACCGTCAGCTCAATTGAGGGTGGCAGCATGGGTGAGTTATAAGCACTGAACGTCAAAAATACCAATTTGCGCTCATTATTAACGTCCGCCCTAAGCGTAGCAGAAACGAAGCCATGCAAATACCTACGATTTTACGGAGATACAAAGTAAAATCGGTTCATCTTTTTTGGAGTTACAGTGCAACAGACAGACACGCAGACATCAGCTGACGATCTTGCAATGGCTGAGGGGATATCATGAAACATATCAAACATAGCTAAGAACAATCCCGATTAAACCAGCTTTTAAATAAAAAAAAACACGTTAAATAAAAAAATTGGTCTAAAGAGTTTAGACAGTACTTCCCTCGCTGTGGGAGACGTGACGACTGCATGCCCATTACTCCTATGTTTTTTTTCGCATTACATTATTGTAGCTGGGCATTTTAAAATAAATTGAATTAATTTTTTCAATTTTGTCATTTTTTTTCTGTGATTGCTATGATTGCGTATTAAAAAAATTGGTCTAAAGAGTTTAGACAGTACTTCCTTCGCTGTCGGAACTGTGACGACTGCATGGCTATTATGTTTTTTTTTCGCAGTAGATTTCAAAGCATTCGGTTTTGTAGTTCCTGAGTAAATCAATAAAATAAATTTACGCATTCATTAATTTCTTTTGAGTCACCCTGTATATGCAAATCCAAAAAAGATGAATGGAGTGATAAATCACAAGTACAGACTCATCATTTTTGTACAGTTTAGATGGGATTTATTCGGCAAATTTTCGAGCTGACGTCATCAATTTTTTGGAGGGGATAAGCAACTATATTTTGACTTTGACTAAACATTTATTATGCTTTTTGTAACCTTAAAACATCTGCAAGATTTCAAAGCATTCGGTTTTGCAGTTCCTGATTAACTCAATAAAATAAATTCACGCATTCATTAATTTTTTGAGTCACCCTGTATATGCAAATCGAAAAAATTTGAATGATGATAAATCACAAGAAGAGACTTACCATATTTTGTACATTTTAGTTAGGATTTATTCAGCAAAATTTGGTGGTGACGTCATAAATTTTTTAGGGGGGAGACCAAAAAAATTTGGTCAAAAATTTACCATGCTTATCATAATTTTAAAACATCTTCAAGATTTCAAAGCATTCGGTTTTGTAGTTCCTGAGTAAATCAGTAAAATAAATTTACGCATTCATTAATTTTTTTGAGTCACCCTGTATATGCAAATTCAAAAAATATTAATGGAGTGATAGATCACAAGTACAGACTCATCATATTTTGCACATTTTAGATCGGATTTATTCGGCAAACTTTTGAGCTGACGTCATCAAGTTTTTGGAGGGGATAACCAAATATATTTTGACAAAAGATTTATGATGGCTCTTTATAGCCTTAAAACATCTGCAACATTTCAAAGCATTCGGGTTAGCAGAGTAAAAATTAAATTGCAAAATGTTTTATAATTTTGATTTTTTTTTCCAAAAAGTTTCGGGTAAAAACTCAATTCGGAGTCGTAAACTACATGTGTAGGACTATGTTATTTTATACAATTTAAAACCCATTTACTATGTACAATTTTGAAGTGACGTCATCTCATGAGTGGTGGGGATGATTAGACAAATTTTGGTTAGCGTTTTACCATCTGCATGATATTCCTAATATAAGTACAAAATTTCCTATATCTTCGTCTTCTAGGGGTTATGAAAGGTCGATAAAATGTAAAAGTAGAGAGTCGGCCGACGGACTCGATTACAATACTTCCTTTGCTTACGCTCGGGAAGTAATAATAAACAATACAAATTCAAGTCTTTTGTTTTGTTGCATTTTGTACAACTTGTGTCGGTTGTAAAATGAATATGATTCTATTATTATTATTATAATACTAATACTATTTATTTTGAAAGGATGATGCAGCCATAAAATTGTGACAACTTTTTGTAATTAATACACTACCAAATATTCGGCTAATTCACTATACCTACAGGTGATCAAAAAATCACGGACAAGCTCAATGGTATATTGTTGAGAAACCACTGAAGATCCGAAAAAAAGATTAAAAAATTGAAATTAAAAATATCACTGAATCAAACTTTTGAAAACATTAAACTTCAAAGCTGAAGAATTAACTTCGTAATTTTATGTTTTAATGTGAATTTAACTGAAAGTCTAAAATTCCAGTACAAATTGTCTAAAATCACATCTGGCAACGATAAAAATGAATTCATGCTTTATATGTAATGAAGCAAATTATATTAAATTATTAATAAGTAAACATTTAACATATACTGTGATTTAACTGTGTATTAAGACAGGCAGAGAACCTATATTAAAACATATCGGAATTAATGTGTTAACTTTTCAATTTTGAAGTTAAATATTTTCTAAAGTTTGCTTCAGGGATTTTTATAACGATTTTTTCGAGTTCTTCAGTGGTGTTTCAACCACGTACTGTCAAGGTGATTCCCGATTTTTTTATTATTCTGCAAATTATCCATTCCATTATATTAATAAATCTCAAAAACAACTGTGGTTTCGTTTTTCTTACTGTTTAACTCTAGCAACGCATGCACAAAAAATCATACATGATGCAGTTGCTCAATTGTTTTATCTTGCTCATACCATTTCTTATTCTTCGCTTTATACACCTACTGCGTTCACATAAAGAAATAAGGTAGTTGAACTATGAATGTTCTTTGGAATAGAACTGTTTTCGTTTGTTCTTATTAGCGACAAGTATGTAGTTCAATAAAACATATCAGCTTTTCAGTGTTACTCTTTCTGGACTGCTGGTTTGTAAGTTGAAATATTAGAAATTGTCATTCTTTAACGGTTAGGTTAATAAAAATACATAACGTCAAAGACTCAAAATATTTAATACTAACATAATTAAGGCATATTACAGTAATTATGAATTTTGCCTTCAAGCATGACAGCCTCATAGGAGAGGAAAGGCACTGTCCACTTGGTCTCCATCATTTCATATGAACATACTTGCTTTACATATACTTCATATGTATTAGGTTGACGCAAATATTATTACAAAAATAATAATATTTGAATTAAATTTAAAATAAATTCTATAAATAATTAAAGAAATCCTACATATTAGTGATTCATAATAATAAAGAACTGTTCCTGAGTGCAAAAATATAAATAATAAATTGGATCATAATACAACCCATAACGACTAAAATATTGACTAAAATAGACCAGGTATTTGATGCTAAAACACATTTTCATGATAATCCTTTCAGCTTGAAGTGTTGCACAATATACATAACAATAACAATAACCTTTAAACAAGTGATTTTCTAGTTAGGCAACAGGAGAATAAATAGAATGAAATAAATAATGATAAAAGATATTAACATTAAACACAACGCTAGTCATGCTCATTAAAAACCCTAATTTTTAGTATACAATATTGGAAAATTCCTAAACAAGAAAGACATACATCAATCAGGACAGAACAAAGTCTACCTCGACTATTATATGCAGCAATAAAGAAATAAAAATAAAAACACTTTCGAAGATATAAAACTTTACATAATAGTCAACATTATTTTAAGCAATTCTGTAATTGAGAACACTAATATATATTTTAAGTAAGAAATGTTAACTATTTAATTGCAACCATTTATATAATAAAATTTCTTTAAATATTGAGACCTGTATAAAATCATTACACCGACAAAAATTTTATAAGTTACAAAAATCTATATACTCTATGTACAAATTTTTGGTATTTTAATTAATTAAAGATTCAGCCTAAGAAGTGCACTTAATGATAACGATTATTCAGCTAAATGGAACTTAGAGTAAATGTGATCATCAAACAAGGTTATCAGCATTTTAGGGTAAACATTTTATCACAATTACAGTAACAGTGAACCTAAAAATTCGTTTTTCTTTAATATTATTGCATAATAAACAATCGTATATACACAACACAATTATTAAAAAATCCTTTGCGGTTAAAAACATAATGTTTAGGTCCACTGATAATGTCTTTTGAAAGATCACATTACTAATAAAACTAAAGTGATGTACAAATTTTGTTAATAACCTATCGATTAATCTTACTCTTCTTTGTCTTACTAACAGCAGTTGAATCTACAGCTTTTTTTCTTTTACTTGTCGAAGCTGAAGATTCTATACTTGCCTCACTTTCATCGATTTTTCTTTTTCTATTATTTTTTGATAAAGGAACTAAAGGCATAGGATCTAAATCGATTTCTTGTCTTTGTCTTCTCCTGATCCGTTCACTTCTTCTTGTCTGAACATAAACTTTCCGTTGTCGGCGCCTAACAACTTTCGTATCTACTGAATTTTTATCAGACAACACAATTCCACTTGAACTCGTGGATTCTCGCATAACATCACATTTAGAGCTGGAATCTGATGTCCTTACAATCACAGAATTAGAGGGTGAAACAGTTTCAGGATCTAGCGGATTTGCACTCATCGTTTCCAAAAATTCAGTGACTCTCTTCTCACCGAAATTAAAAACGTTGTCTACGCGCTCTGCCGAATTGACTTTAGTTTCTTTAGAGTCATCAGTCTTTTTGACGTCAACAGACAATTTTGGTCCACTTTTAAGAGAGCCTTCGCTCGTGAAACTTGACGAAGAAGTGCTATTATTATCAGACGAACTCTTCTTCATTCTCCTCCTTTGAGCGAGTTTTGCACTTAGAACGTCTTGCAGCCTGAAGCCCTCCCGCTGGGCCTTGTGGAAAGCATTGAACGTTGTTTGGAGGCTTTTCTCGGCAGCGGTTCCCAGCAGGATATCTGGTGTCATAAGAGGAGTCGAAATGAAGTTCTGGTTACCTTGAACCCAAGTATTCGTTTCCAAGTGGGTCATTCGTAACCTCTGACTAGGATTGACCGTAAGCAAGCCTCTTACCACCGATTTGGCTTCGTTACTTACTCCATTCCACGCAGCAGAATGAAAGCTGAAGTCGCCCTCTTTAATGCGTTCCATTATGGACGAGACGCTTTCGTCTCTCGACCTTGCGTGGAAAGGAGCTTTTCCGCTTAGCATGGTGTACAAAATGACACCTAAACTCCACAGATCACAGTTTTCGTCATATCCCTCTGGATCACCTTTCAATACTTCGGGGGCTGCATAATGCAACGTGAAACATGGAGTGTGAAGCGACTCCTTTTCTTGTTTCAACCTCGCAAAACCGAAATCTATCACTTTTATCTCTGCGTCGTCATCTTCCGATGTAAAGACGAGATTTTCAGGTTTTAAGTCTCTATGTACAACACCACGCGAATGCATGAAACTCACAGCCGATACAAGTTTTCGAAGTATTCCAGATGCTTCCGATTCCGTAAACCTTGATTTTTTACGTATACGTTCGAACAATTCACCCCCTTTTAAATATTCTAACACCAGATACGTATGCGCCTCGTCTTGAATTACATCGTATAAACTCACAATGTTGGCATGACCCTGACACGCTCGTAGCAGATTGATTTCTTGAGAACAGTCTTTCTTTCTACTCACAATTTTGACGGCGTATTCTTTACCCGTCTGCAAATTAATACACCGACGGCACACTGAGAAAGTACCGTCGCCCAGAATCGGTTCATTTAAATCGATATCGTAAGTTTGGAAGAACGGGGAATTATTTATTTTACAGTTAACCAATTTGGTACTGTCGTGTTGCTTGGTCGGTTTCAGTATTTCCTCTGAAATCGCGTTCTTAGTGAACAAGACTGAAGGTGCTACATACGAATATCCTTTAAATATTTTATCATAGTTTGGTGGAACTACAGCTGGTGAATCTGTAGGAGGCATTTGAGTGAATTCTTCGCTAAAGTTTGACACATCTAACTCGCTCCTGAAATTAAATGTTCATTGTCACTACCACAATTAACAAAAAATACTGCAGACATACCTAATTACCGGTTTAAAGGGAGCGGGTATTTCTTTCCGTGCTAATTTGCTCCAGTCTAAACTTTTAAAGAAAGGGTGCTTTTTTAATTCTTTAGCATCTCCCTCACCACCGCCAAGTCTTTTTCTGGGGTCTTTAACTAATAGTTTGCTTATAAAATCTGCAACTTCTTTGCCTAACGCTGTAAAAAAAGAAAACATTAAAATAAAAACACTGAAATAATATTTAAAACACTTACTTTCAGGTATTGGTGGAGTTGTCTTTAAAATTCGTCTGGAAATTTCTTGCTGTGTATTTTTTTCACCTTCCACAGTGAAAGGGGACGCTCCTGTTAATAATTCGTAAGTAAGTACTCCTACCGACCACCAGTCAACGGCCTGAAAAATACAAACATATACATATATACAAGTGAATTAAATAACATAATTATTATACCGTAAAAAATGAAAAACCAGTAAACAAAATAAAATGATTGTAACTACTTTAGTAAACAGGTTAATTTGGTAAACAGCTAGACTGATTTTTAATCGGTTTATTTTTTATATCGTGTTCTTTTCTTTCCTTTAGTAACAACAAGTCAAACAGGTATTTTTAACAGATTAGTGTCTAAAGCATTCCATTGTTTTAACAAATTATGTTTTGTAAATGACATATTTTCCTTTTACTGTTAATTATTATCAATTACTGAAGTTATTTCATGTTACTAAGTATTAAATGGAATTCTATTTTGATAATATAAAGACAGGTTGTTAATAATTATTGCACTAAATATTAGCCTTGGATTAATAAGTGCCTGCATAGGTCATGGTTATTATTTAGATCAATTGTAGTTTGTAATATTATATACAAGGCCCGATCTATCGTGATAACGTTACCAGAGTTGAAATGATTGAAATTAAATTTAAAAACGCAAAACCTCAAACTAATGGTAGAAAAAAATAATTAATTGATACGCTTTGGTGCGTCAATATATATAGATATCACGAACACAGCTTATTGTACCAATACAGTAAAAAATACTGATTAGGTTTAGTACTTTTGGTATTTCTTTTTGGGTTATTAATAAATAACGCAAAAAATGGTGTAGGACCTCATATAAACCACAAGGTGAGTTGGTACAATGTTTAGCGTTTCTCGTTAAATTATGATACAGTTTACGGCTCAAGGAATCTTCCAAGGAAAAGAGGCTAATGGGACAATGTGCATATATACGTAACTCAAATATTTTTGTAAAATGCGTGACGCCTTAGCGTACCACTAACGTAAAGAATTAATAACTAATTCATTTAATTCATGATCACAACACTTTCATTGTGTTCAAAATGTCGTAATAAGTAGGTACAATAAACATTGCGTATAATATGGTTCGGGCTCGATCAATTGCTGACACACTTTTCTGACCCAGATTTCAGCAGGATTGCAAATGTTTTGCACACTTGTTATTTCATGGCAGCACACACATTTTCAATATTAGCTTAAATATCACGACAGACATTCTATAGCGAAATATGCCAAAATGTCTTCTCATAAAATACAGACTGTGTTAATACTGTGTCTTAAATATCACTTGTTTAAAATTTTATGCAGGTACTTGGCTTGACAACATTCAATACTGAAAGGACACTTTTTACTTTATTGTAACATAGTGTAGTAATGGTTCCTGTATTGCATAACCCAATACACATCAAGGACTTTCTAATAATAAAATACGCTCTTTCTCTCTTGTTTACACGTTTGTAAGTAGTTCATGATTAGTATAATAATTTATTTTATTTTATATAACATGTCTGCTCTCGTGGATGCAACAGTTTCATTTAGTCTAAATTGATAGGATTTCTCGTAAAAGGAGTAAACTATTTTATTTAACTTTGTATTAGCTGTGCACTCTACAGGTTAATGAATGATGTTAAGGACCTCACATTTGGTTAAAAACATTTCTGGGAAACTACACAAAAAAAAGTTATCAATGGTTAATAATGCTTTATCCAATCATAGACAATAGTCTGATAATGTTTGATCCTATCGGGCAAAATTATTTTTAGACTAACGAACTGCTGGCATGTGGTGCGAATTATTTTTATCCGTGCTTTCTATTTATCGTTCAACTGTAAATAAACATTTTTTCGATCCTTGGGACGACTGGCATTCGCGTGTGCAAGTGACTGTGGACGATCTGCATATAGGTGGAATTAACACGCCTAAAGTCTACAAACTTAACTGTATGGAAGAATAACAGTTAACTAAATTGATAAAAAATCCACTCGATTCCGGCCTGCAAGTACACTGTAAAACGACAGAAGTGGGTCAGATTCGAAGCCAGCCAAGTGGGACGACGATAGAAACAGACACTTGAGAAATGCCAGACGAAGAAGGAAGATTGAGCACTGTTAGCAGTGAAAGTAGGATATGCTGTTTAACAATATTTACATTACCTGAGTAGTTCCACCATTACTGCAGCTGTTTTGAAATTCGCCGGTAATTATATTCGCGAATACTGGAATCGCGATTAAATCAAAAATAAAATTAATTGAAGTGATTGTACGGTTTCTCATTTACTTGAAAAACGTAGGTATGATAAAAAATAATTACGGACTTCTTGTTTAAAAAGACAGTCAGTCGAATAACGCATCTCCAAGATTTTCACTAAAACAATTAAACATTCTGAGTATGATCCCACGTTCCTCTGTAACTGTTCTTTTGCTCACTTCCTGAACCTGCTTCGATACAAGCAAGAATTGCTGTTATGAAAAGAATTTACGATTAACTGTCGTAACACTTTTAGAGAGGTACAGTGAATTTACTCTCATTTCTCGTAAGAAGGTGTCGTCTAGCCGTAGGCTAAGAATACCCATTAATTTACACATCAAACGATGCACAGCATGGTTGGTTACAATAAATTGGTGGTTCAAGGACAACACATGAATCTCTATATGAGAATCGCGACAACCGCTATAAACTCTAAAATTATAAACATGAATAGTTTCTTAATTTGTGCTTAGCACGCTTAAGAGGAAGACAGACACTCGATAATGTTCATCTACGTTGCAAGTTTTTATTATGTTTTTTCGTACATTTAACCGTTTTCGTTTCTGAAAATTACATTATTAAACTGAAACTGTAACGCAACGTGAATTTTCATAAAAGTGATTTTAATTAAGAAATGTGTAACTATGTTTACGCTTGTACAATGTGCATCTTGCTAAGGCATTAATTTACCTGTAAACTCCACCTATAGAGGTCGACATTATCTAACTAGGTTTCTAGGTAACCAACTTGCTCAAATGGGTAATAAGTTGTTTTCATTAATTCAAAGTGTAAAAACAATTAGTTAAAACACACATTTCGAAGGAAAATGTTTTTAAATAAAAAAAAATTGTCAAATATTTAGTACACTTCAGAAGAAAGAGCAAAACAGCTGTCTACCTGCGAAAATCTTTCGTGCTCGTGAATCATCAGAAAGACATTGAAAGAACGTGTACAAAGAAGGCCAGGTGGTTTATACAGTGGCGGATTTTATTATTTGAAGTTTTACTTGCGCACCATGTGGTTTATCCATGTTACCGATTATTATTTTATTTAGATTAATAAATCGATAATTGGGAAGCACGTGCCCGCAATTACTAGAATATAATCATTAGAGGTCAATGTTTAATGTATTTTACGAAGGCAGTGGTGAAAAGTTAAAATAAAATCAAGCTGGTGATTTCAACAACTAGTACGACGAAATTATATATTAGTGAAAGTGAAATTGACCGCGACTGATAGCGCATTATTAAGCATTAAATCTTTAAACCAAAATCTAACCTAGTTTTCATTGGCTACCGATTTGGGTCAACTTTACCCAAGGGGGATGGTTCGGTCACGCACGTAGATTCTTTGAAAGACCATGTTAAGCAATATTGAAACGACGTTTCCAGTAGTCAATACATTAATACTATTTAATTAAATTGGATGGTAATTATTATTGACACAATGAAATTATTATACACATACAGTTAAAGCTTTAGAATTTTTTGTTATAGTTAGAGAATTATTGTGGATAGCTGAACGGTTTATGAGACGAACAAAACACAGTTTTTTATTTGCAACTGGTCTGCTGTCAACAGATTTTTAGTCCGCTGTTTTTGCATAATGGAATGGTTTAACGAACAGATATGCCGTTATGCGAGGTTAACATGTATCATTGTGCTAACATTTATTTCCATATGTATTTTTGTGTCAGACTTGGGAAGTTAAAGATGTTCTTTTTTTGTCCTACCAGAAAATAATAATAATAATAATAAAAAAAACTCTGTTTTGGGCTGTAATTTTTATGTATAAGTATATTGATGTTTTAAATAAGTTTAATATTCTATAATGTAAATGACAAAAAAATACTACATTTACATACTACAAATTAACATTTGTTGTAGGCGAAGCAGCTACATGTTATTCCGTGTGAGGTGAAGAATTAATAATAGTAGACTCATAATAATTATTATTATTGTTATTACTTTTAATCAATAATATCTGATAGATGTTTCTCGTTAGAGAAAACACAAAATTAAATTGTAAAATGTCTTGTATGTAATAAAAAAGTTTTGGGAACCCTGCATCTTATTTATATATGTTCTGGAAAAAATTCAAAATTGATAATATTTACTATTTTTTACAAATAAAAAAGGCAAGTCAATTTATTGCAATAACGTCTCTAAACTCTACTAAACTGGCGGCAGTTATTTTAATGGCATTTTGCCTAAATTTAACAGGATACAATAATTTATTGTTGTGCAAATTTAAGTCATTTCAATAAAATAATTTTGTTATCACATAACTTTGTAGTTGGATTGTAAATAAATGTTCTAAATGAAAACAATGATAAGAGCCACTCTCCATCCAGTGTATCACATATGTAATTACATTTTTTGAATTATGGCGTCATATTACTACATCAAACGATCGCTAAAAAATAAGAATTTAAAAGAAAATCTGGAGATTATCTGTCGTCCAAGCTGATTAGCGATAAACCACAAACTGACTACTGTCGACAAATCATGTCTGTCGTCATCTGCTGCTGATAAAACTGTCATTCGAGAACGATGTCAATTGGTAAACTTACGATATCATGTCCCTGAGTTCCTCCTTTGACAACTTCCGGTGCCATATATTCGATTGTGCCACAAAATGAATAGGCGCGCTGATCACTATCTCCTTCTCTTGGTAATTCCTTGCTTAGTCCAAAATCTGTTAGAACAATGTGGCCTGATTCATCGACTAAAATATTTTCTAATTTGATGTCTCGGTAGATTATTCCCAACTGCAAAGAGAAAAGAAAAGCGTCACAAGAGGTAGAAAAGTGTACTTACTTTAAATTTTATTACGCTAATAAAACAAAAAATAAAACTTTCAAGGAACACTTTTTTTGCTAAAATAACACTCAATATGTATTTGCGTTACCTTGTAATAAGGGAAATTAAACAATTTTAGTACAGGTGTCCGTTAAATGATTCATTGTGGTAATTTATTGCGATTGTTAAGTCAATTACAAAAATGCCGTTTAACATGAGTACGTCTAATTTTTTAAATTTCTTTAATACATATGCCCTCAATTATTTTTTGACTGTTTATGGTTACATTGAATCAAAGATAAAAAATATGTATAAACTGTACTATATTATGTTACAGTATATGTTTCGAAGAATACAATGACTACAGTTGGTAGGTGCCTGCTTAAACGTACCCCTGTTAAATGTCTTGTGAACTACGACTAGACTACCAGGTGTTGCAACGATTCAACAGGTTATCGGGCGATTTTAGTCTTTATATGCATTGTTTATAAGTGCTGTGCATATACCATATTGCAACAGCTGTGGTTTGGGTACCCGCTTTATGTGCTGTTAGAGAGTGATGTTAAACTCTGCTGTCCGTCCGTCCGTTGGGGAATACATTTTAAAAGTGCATAATGTTTCATTACATTATGAAAGCCGATGATGATATTTCGATTGCTTGCTAATTATAACCACTGAAACGTGATACGAACCTATTTTCCACTGTTTCGAGATTTTATCAAACTGACAAAGATTAAGACCGTTAAATATAAACGGGGACTACTCGTTACTGGTTGTTAGTTTACAATTGTTTAATGGTCTGTTTACTATCATTGTTTGCCGTTTTTATATTGTCAAATCACACAATTTCAAGTCCAAAATGTGACAATTAACCAGTAGTAGTAATAACAAACCGTTTATGCATACCATCATACCAACGTTAAGAATGTGTTTCGTCCGGACAATAAAAACCAACACGTGTGTGACTACTATGTGATATACTTAGTCCGTAATAAGGAGGTCAACGACATGATTCTAATAAATTCTTTAATTTGTTGTCACAAAAACTTTACCTATCACACTATGTACATGTATCAACTAACAATAATAGCTAGGACGGAAATATGTACAATAACATTAGAATAATAAACATACATGTACACATAAAACGATTTTCCTTATCATAATGATACACTTACCGTATAAACAAAACATTAAATCTCCTACAAAATAACGGTTTACTTTTAAATAGCTAGATGTAAAAACTTTCAACAGAAAAACGAAATTAATTATCAGTTACAGACAAAACTAAATGTTGTTGTTACTTGCAACAGTAATCCTTAATACAAACCACTACACAGTTATTCTGTCGGTAATGGTCTATGTCAAAGTGCGTTGTGTTGACATGGAAACACCAGATTTCTGTTATGGTAACTGCATGTCTTGTTTAAACAAAAAGGCAACAGACATATAAGTCTGAGAACTCATTAAATGATGAATCTGGTTGCGATTTAAGATGAGTAGCCAGGTGTTGGAAGCAACAGTTATGCCATTCAATAGAAATGTAAAAATTTGTACAGTTAATAATTATAACAAAACTTCCTTGGCTTAAAGTACAACCAATACCGCGTATATACCTATATACATATTTATCTGTGTCTTTTAATAAAGTTTTATTTAAAGTTTTGAACATATCACCAATATTTTGTTGCGTATAAAAATGGCAATTTTGATATGCATCGATCAAAGCTAATCATTACGTTACTGATTTGGAAAAATTTGCCGAAAATAAATGGGACGTTTTTGAGAAAATTGGTTCACACATATTTTTTTTGGGGGCAATTGTAAAACTCTAATGGGGTCTTTAAAAATTAAAAAAAAGTCCAAATTATAAAACATGGTTCTTAAACTTTTGTTATGTTACTTCAGGGCCGAGGGAAGTTCGGTCGAAATAACGTTAAAACACTTTTTTAATTGGGACAACAGATTCATTAGGTTTTAGAATTTTAGGAAATTTAGGAAATATGTATACATTAATCATAACCACGAGTGTCACTACAGATTTTGAATTTTTTTTCTAAAATGTACATAGCCCCTATAAGTATTATTGACATTCGTCATACAAATTACATATTACATCAAACTCGTAAAAAAGCGTTCAATTTTTAAATTTAATGCTGCCAATATGTTAAATATTTGTACTTATTAATTATTATTACTATTATTATTTATGTTTGGGTTGTATGGTTATAAGGATTTAAGTGCTGTTGCAAATTAGTTTATCGTATTAAACTATTCAATAAATTAATTGTAAAATTACATTTCTTTTACAATCTGGTGTATTTGTCTGCAAATGAATAGATGCACAAAATTTATTGCCACTGAAATCAATTTAAAAAAAGTTTAACGCAATTAATTTTTTCTCGATTTTGGTTGAGAATATTTTTCAGGAGTGTCGGCTTTACGGTGTACTTCAGTGTGTGTACCATTAAACTACATTTGGTTTTAAGTCTACCACCTGAGGTAATAAATTATAACTACTCCTATTACACTAAACAGTAGTGTTTACAATTTAAGGGTTAACGACCCAACGAGTTAGACCCATATGTTAAACACTAACATTAACTATCGCTGTAGGGGTTGATGAAACATGCGGTGTAAAACACGACACTCCCAATTTTGTGAAAAATTTATTAGATATTATCATTTTCACTTCAGTCTTTTTATAATTTTGTAACCCGCCGTTGTATAAAAAAGGGGGTTAAAAATTTGAAATAAAAGAACGTGACTAGGGAATATAACTAATATTTGGATTATCTTTATCAAAAAAAAAAAAAAAAAACTATGGCACTAAAGGAACAATTTCGGTACAATATTTGCACAAAATATAGGTAAATACGGCGTTAAAAAAGGAACAACCCTGCATTTTGGGTAGGCAGCGATTTTTTTTATGGATCGTAAATGTAAAACTGAGTTTTCGGCACTGGGGCCACTATATTGAAAAGAATAGTGCAATTGGTTTTTTGATTTATTTCCGTAAGCGTGAGTACGACAAAAATTTTCTAAGGGGAATTTTTGTAGACATGTAAATTATCTATAAGTTTTATTCCTAACTTTTTGGCGCATTAACAATAAAAACGTTATGGGCAGAAAAATATGAAAAATTTTGATGGAGTCTTCTGAAATCAATTGTGCAAAACCAAATGTGGAGATGTGGAAGCTGGCCCCTCAAAAAGTTGTAGATAATTGTATTATCTAAAAAAAATTTCGATTGCACCCTTCTTTTCAAGATGACGGCCGAAGGACTGCACTCCCAGTTTCAAAAACTATGTTTTAGACTCATGGCCCTTACGAAACCCCCAAGAAATAGCAGCCTATCCAAAATGCACGCTCTCATGCCGAATTTACTGTACTAATAGGTCGTCAGCAAAAGCTGCACGAATAAACTGCATTGATGTTTGCTTCAAATTATGAAATGCAGTTAGAAATGTAATGATGATGTCGCTTTTTACCTTAAACCAATTTGTATTGATTGGCCTAATCTTACCAAGTTGCGTAAAAAAGTAATTTTAAACGCGGTATTGGCATACTCTCAAGGCCTTTTTTGATCGCGTGGCATTGTTCATTTTATTGAGAAGGATTAAACAGCGAATTAAATCAGGTAATGAAAAATCATAAATCACAATGACCTCCGATATGATAATAAATAAAATTTTGTTGCCGAATCATAAATATATTATTAGATATGCAGTAAGTACAGTTCGATCATGAGGTATTTCTAATTAAGTTTATACTTAATAACTGCGTATATGCAAGTCATAAAATAAACAAAATTTCATTTCATACAATTCTTAACTGAAACGTAAAAAAACATATTCATGGCTTGTACAATTCAATAATAGCGTATTAATATTGCTTCAACTAAGAACAAAAACTGTAAAATGAAGAGTTTATAAGTGAAAGTGTGATTTCACCGGCTTTTGACAATAACACAGTAGTCATTTATAAGAAATCCTAGCGAAGAAATTCCACTTGCGTTAGGGAATTTAGAAGGCGACCTTGGTTTGTGGCATTATAAGAACATGTTATGTTTACCGTTGCCATATCAGTTTGGTATTTTCTCTTAAGGTCTTACTTAACTTAAAACCGATAACGAAAAAAGCACAACATTATGCGGTTTAAGTAGATAAAGTGACATCTTGGTTCAACGTTAATCAATTATAATAGCTGTTTTTCTGTAGACAAAGTATATATTCCAATAATTGAATTACATTCAATTTACAATTTAATTCAAAGGTTAATGTGTTATGCGCCGGCACCGTAGAAAATACAGAACAAATTGTCCGACTGTTAGATGTTGTTCAAATTACAAGCTATCCCAAACTTCAATAAGAAACCAAATTACAGAATATATTAACCGATAATTTTAACTGCTTACTATTCAACAAGTAAAACTGAACTTCGAATGTAAATAACTTAATTTGTTTTCTTTGTCATCTACTAACTGAAGGTTGATAAGCATACTACCTGACACAAACAATTAATAAAAATGAGTTTACTTAATTCGGTAAATGACTTCTGTTTATCAACCAGATTCAAAAACTCTTTTGTTCTATTTGTGAATAACCTTTGATTGCTGTATTACTTTTATTGCGAAGGACATTCTATTTATATCTCAACGTACGGTCAAAAGCAGACATTTTAAACAAATATGAAATGTTTCTTCTTTTTGCTTTGAATTTGTATGAAAAATATTTGCGTCATTTTTCCTAAGTAAACACAATATAATAACCACAACAAGCAAAGGTCACCGTGCATGTGTCTACAAAGAAAAACAAAATTGGAACAAGGTGTACTTACACTGTGGAGGCGTTCTAGTGCTAAAATAATTTCTCCTATATAAATGCGTACTTCGTCTTCTGTGAAATGCTCTCTTTGGTATAAATGTGTAAACAGTTCTCCACCGGCCACATAATCTGAAAAGAAAAACATATTTTTAAACGAAGTTTTCAGGAATAAACAATAATGGATAAACATCACGGGGATTTACAAAAACAAGTTGGTAATAATAAGTTTCAGCAAAAATACGTGACGTACAACTGCGAAATATTCAATATTCCACTGTTTGTTATAACGTCAGTATTAATAAATTCATTGTTATTACGTAATTACGTTCGCATTTAACTAACAACTGTAATACAAACTTCTAATGTACGTTGGAGGAGTACAGTTTTTGAGTTCTTCGGAATAAAACAACACGTTATAGTCATTAGTATTCGTTTTAAATAATGTCCGCAGTTTATTCACGCATCCTGGTATCAACGACCATTTTCAATTGTCGACATTTCACATTTCAGTAATAATTGTTCGTAAAGACTGCATACTCGCGAACTGTGTTATTACGGATACATAGCCTGAATTTCTGGTTGAATATCCTTGAAAAAATTCCGTGTAAACAGTCAGTTTCCATGTAGCTGCGATATTAATATAAAATGAAGAATTGGTAATATATCAACAAGTAAGGACAGCAAGGTTCTTTCTGCAGAAAAGTTAGGTTATTCTTCATGCTCAATAATGATTTCAATAAATATGTACTCCCAATTTACAAATTTCTGTAACTATGCTTTTCTCCGACTTCTTGAACCTTAATTTGTTAAATGCAGTAGATATGCGCGTCTATATACTTGGCTTTTTAAATGTAAACGATAAATAAAATTCACCTAGTATTTTTTTAAATGAAATCTTATATGCAAATATTTAGAAAGAAGCTTTCTCTAAGCGAGTGCTTTTTATTCTCTGCAGCGGGTTTCTTTTATCTACTACTAAAATAATAAAAAAATTTGCATACAAATACCACTGAAACTGTTATGTTATTTATAAACAATTTTTGTATAAAGTACGTTAAATAACGTGTGGTTAATAAAAATCGACTGTAAATAGGTGCTAGATTTTTAGTTTTCTTTCATAATACCCGAGCGTGAAGAAGTAGAACATAAGAACAGTTTGTTTATACAATGTCAACTGAGGACTGACTTTTTTCTTGACTGTCCACAGCACAAGGGCAGCTCATCTTCTTTTTCTTTTAATTTTGGTGAAATTATTTACAGCGTATCTTTAAATTATGTAATATCTTAATTATTCATGAAAATTCCGGAATGCTATTTTTACCATCGTTTTAATTTACAAAGCCCTATGATTCGTAGCCAAAACATTGTCAATTGGAAATAATATACAGTAAAAACAAATTGTGTTGAAAAGCCGGATTTATTCGACAAAATTTTTACCATTTAGAATAATCTTAAAACGTCTGTAAGATTTCACAGCATTCAGTTTTAAATTGTAAAATGTTGTTAATGTTCATGAATCTGTTTTCCAAAAATATGGATGTCTAGGGTAAAAAATTAAGACGGATTCATAATCCACTAATTTTGAAACGTAATTTTATAAAATTTTGGTAGCAGTTACTATGCACAATTTTGAGGTGATGTCATCATTCTGTTAGTGGGGATGATTAGACAAATTTTGGTTAGCGTTTTATCTACACGACTCTCCTAAAATATATATAAAATTTGCTAATAATCGGTTCAGTTGTTGCGGAGATTAACTGTATAAATAATCGACACAGACGACAGTTTCCGTCTATCTGGAAACCGGAAACCCATTGTTTCATATATCTGGAGTCATGATACTTCGAAGAAACATAAAAGTAGTCATTCACCAGATGGACCCCATTATGGGTTCGATTACAATACTTCCATTGTTTACGCTCGGGAAATAAAAGAATACATTTTCAAAAATCATGCCATACAATAATTATTGCCTTTGCGTCACGTGCATTTTTGAGTTCACCATCATCATCAGAAATAGAACTGATACTGCACATCTGGATAACGTTCTTATGATCTACTTGGTACGTTTGATTATATAATATCAATGTCTTATCATATATAGTGTATCCCCGGATTGAGTTCAGAAGAGGAAAAAAACTTTATTTTTCATTTTACAAAAAAATAAATAAAAAAATAAATAAATAAATAAATCTACACCAAATAAATACAAAATACGAGCGAATATAAAACCTCTCAACTTTTTCTTTCCATTTCATTGATAACACAGAAATTATCCGAGTTCTTTTGACACGATATTCAAAGTCACGAATACTGAAAATTGCTCTATTTATTGGGCAATTAAAACTTTAATATTATCAGCTGTCCTTAAAATCGAAAAAAAAAAAACAAAAGTAACTGATAACTGGAGAGCTAATAGTTGTTGAACATCCATAAAAAACAAGATTACAGACAAAAATACAAAGGCTTGCTAAGAATTTTGGTTTAATGACCACAGCGAAATCCCTGATAAAAACAGGACTAACTGATTTCGGTTCGCCAGATGGAGATGAGATGGACACGTGTAAAACATCAAACCAAAGGAACGCAACTTTTGGATGTTGACGCAACAGATTTGTCAAAATGCAGAAATTTTTCGTGAAGACCTTCGAACCCTCAAATGTCTGCTAGAAATACGCCTGTACCTCTATGATATTTATGTACACGTGAGTTAGGAAAAGTTTTTATTATTATTTTATTATTGAATGGATTTATGAAAATTTCTTGACATCATACTGAATCTCAATCTGATAACAGCACTGACATTGTACAGTGTGTATTTGCCATTACCTACAATTGGTAGATAAGTCACATTTTCCTTTTTTGACAATCCTCTAAACATTTAGGTGGTTGTTTCACGATTTTGAGCATATTTCTAAAAATCACTCTGATTTTGGAACAATTTATTCTTTAGGTTGCTTAGTAAAAAGACACTTCTACAAAATACAAGAAAATTACAGTCAAACAGATTTGATACTTGATGAAAACAACAATTTTAAAAGTATTTACATGAACGATGCTTACTTTATTTCAGTTTAAATACCATCAAATGTTTACGGTAATCTAGGTAACAGGTAAAATCTTGAAACACGGAGTATAAAAATTGTTTCATGTCTCATATTAATCAATTTATACACGTAATTCGTTGCATTGGCAACATTTACGACATTCAAATTCAATGAAATATCAGCATTGTGAATTCCTTCCAAATAATTTTCAAATGTTACCTGGTTTATAAAAGAGAAAGTGCATAAAATATGAAAGTGTTTATCTCACTTACTTTCACTTGATATTACTGTTTACAAGACTTTGTAATATTACCTTGGAACTGTGAATTCAGCAAATCTGTGGCTACATGCGACACGTGTTTGTAAGTATATAAATATGTATTTAGTATTCCGAGGTAACATCGCGTTAATAATCTGAGCTTTCCAGAGAACTAAAAGTACTTGAAACTTAATTATGTACCATTTAACATTATTGTATGACTTTCAACTAACCAGCAATTTAGAAGGTTGCTGTTATTTACCATCGAAAAATTATTTATCCTTTCATTGTTTCCGACATGATTTGACAAAATATAAAAATATAAGAGAAACTCCTTTGTATGGATAAATGACAAAATCTTTGGCAACAATCCATGCACACTTTCGTACACAAAAATCAGTTCATTTACCTGCAATAATTCAGTTTGACCTTGCCTTGGCGATATTTTAGTAGTTGAATATGACATGACAAATTTACTTGTGGACTGTGATTCTTGAATCCACCCAGGTTGAAGTTGGACATTAGACACAACAGAATATACTCTTATTGTAAAGGGTCAGTAGCAAAAAGATCACCATTAAAATGCTATTTAAATTGGGTCAAACAGAAAATGTATGTGTTGAAAACATAAGAACTGAAAGTTATAATATCTAAACTATTTAGGTTGAACAACTGTTCAAATTCCTTCAACTATTGATAAACAAATGTGATAAACCTGAATTTGTCTTTCGCCATGGAATTAAAAACCGTAGGCTAAATAATTCTATGCTACTAGCATATCTAAATAAATGCAATTTGAGGATTGTGTATGAGTCAGCTGAGAATTAGTAAAGAAAAAAATTAAACATGATTGCCAACGGCAAGGCGTACCATTGCATTCAAGAAGTGAAATGACTCACGGGCCACTTCCAGGGGAACGTAAGCACTGCCAAATGAATAATTTCCGATGAAACTCTTTGCCCACATAACGAATTTTACACTTACACTTCACTTGCTGTTCTAATTAACATCTGCACGTTTTAGTACTAGTTACACTTATAATCGGAATTGTAATAACGTATCAAAATTCGGAAGTTCAGATTCGAAATTTTGGGTGCACTTTAAACTATGCATGGGGATAAATTAAATGAAAAGAAATGCGTGTGCTGAAGAATTATGAAATTTTTACTGTTGTTTTTTTTAATTATTTCTAAAAAACGTTCCTCAACCTGAGCAAGCATCCAGTCTTGATAGTCAATTTTATTTTCCTAGTGCAAGTTAATTAAAGTTAAAATTTCACATTTTGCTGACGTTTCGCAGCTACCGTCTCTCTGTCTGTCGGTAACAGTGTCTTCATTATTATTATTTATTAGACAAAAAAACTTCGAAGCTACCCGACAGATCATTGTGAAATTGTAAGTGTGCTTAGATTGTAACACTAACCAACATTTATTTGTTCATTCCTACCAAAACTTTTATAATGGTTCGCAAGATTTTGCTACATAAATTCTATTTAAAATGTACAAAATAATACGTCTGTTTCTATGTCTGTCTAGGTTATTAATATGTACATCCGTACGATAATTTTAAAAACACAAAATTTATTGCGCTGAAATTTTGCATACGCTTTGGGCGTTCCTGAAAATTTTAGGTGAAACGTGCACAATAGAATGTTCCTCTACATTCTCGTTTCTGATTATACTTTTAAGTAGTTTGCAGTGTTAAGCATTATATTTTATTGCTTACAGAAAGAATAGCTTTTATAATTTTTCCACAATTTTGAGGCCACAATGCTCCTGTTATTAGTACTGTCCTGTACGCATTGAAAATTGACATATTGCCCCATTAAAAAGTTACCACAATTATTAAAACGATCATGTTATACCATAATTATTATATTCCTAGATTTCGTGGTCACATTTGTGCAACATTTTTACTTGGCCCACTTCATTTAGATTGATTCTATGAATTGTCTATATTACATTGAAAAATGATTTTTCGTGTCATAGTTTACACAATGCAAGCAATTTTACATAATAATTTAATAATGAACAACTCAAGACAAAATTGAAGCGGAAAAAAAATTAAAAGCTATCCCATTTGACAGTGTCACTCCACTTCAGTGGACCAAACCTTGACAACCTACTTTCGTACTTTCAAAATATGTAAAAACGATTGTAAAATATATGTATAATGATGCATATTTTTTCAAAAGAGCTTTCTTGGAATATATAAGTGTATCAAATTTGTTTTAACTTACCAAGAATTAAGTGCAATTTGGCATCGGTTTGGAAGGCATAATGTAATGTAACTAAAAATGGATTGTCTCGGACGGCTTCTAATACTTGTCTTTCTGTTTTTGTATGTTCAGTGGTTTTCTTCTTCTGTACTATTGTTGCTTTCTTCAAAACTTTCATAGCGTAAAGTCGGTTGTTGTCGGCTCCACCACGTTTTCGTACCAGAAATACTTTACCATATGCTGCAAACAGAAAATTTTTGTTTTAGTTTATAAGTTCATTAATTGTATCAAAATATTCAAGTAAGGTTGTTAGAAAATATTTTTAATTAAAATCTGTCATCGTCTCAATAAAATGTTTTAATATTACAGCATTTGATAACGAAAATTTTAACAAAAATTTCATTATAACTTTGATGCCATAAATGTAGACTTACAAAAATTAGCATTATGCGATGATAGGTAGTTCAAATAATAACCTACAATAAAGCTCTCGAAAAAACTTCGCAACAAAGAACAACATTAGCGTCAAAATTTTCAGGAGATGCTATACACAAACGTGGGTTTAGCCGAAATGGCACCATAGTCTGACTTATATGTCAAGTGTCGTTCTGTTTTGGCACTTAAAGTAGTGGCTAAAGCTTCCAAATTTTAACAAATCAAGTGTTGGCTATTGTTGCGAATCCACTTTGTCGATAAGGCGGCTCAAAAAAGACTGAGTCCTACATTTCTTTGGGGATTGGGATTCCTTATGAACCTACTACGTGAACTCTGTTTCCAGGTTCTCAGTAATGTAGACAATCCTTTATAAAACAATTAAATTTTGTTGGTAAATTTGTCTTCTCAGTTTTTATTCAGGCGCAAGCATTTCCGGAACCCATCTTACTGACAATGCCCAATTCATTGTGTAAAATATTTCAAACGTTTCCTTTTGATACTCCTAGCTCATATTCGATGAACGAGATTCTGACTAGGTACTAGTGTTTCGACGCTCTTTACAATGATTCGTTTCTTGTTTCTTAGTTTTTCGAAGTCTCGCTTGAGTCAGTATCCACATCTACCCCGTTTAAATTTTCAGACGAAAATTTAAGTTGATAAAAAGAGATCGGCAATTTTCTCAATAAACTGTAACCATTCGCTGATGGACAATTTTCGACCTGATGTCTCTCTTTGTAAGAAATGTTATCAAATTTAGATTTTCTAATAAAAACGAAAAAATAATGGTACAACAATCTATTGACACAAAAATCAAATTAATCAAGCACGAACACATTAGATGAAACTACGTAACAGTAAAGATTATTGGTCTTGTAACTAAGTAGGTTATTTGATTACCTTTTTATTCGTTCTTCTTTTTGAGTTTCAGAAAAACGTGATGTAGCGGTCATAAATTCACACAATTTATTAAATTAATGGTACTTCAATGGCATTGTATGTCTCTTTGCATCTCCTTAAACGAGAAATTTTAAGGACTTTATTTTAGATGTGAGAAATGAATTACCTTTCACTCTACATTTCGATGTCTGTTAAATAATTTCATAATGAAACGACAGTCACCACGAAATCATTTTTCTAAATTAATATTTGCAAAAAAAAGCTACTGCAATAAAAATCCCTCATCTCAGATACAACAATAATCTGAATATTTAGAAACTGAAGATAAATACAGTTTCATTGCTTTCTAAATACAATTCTAAAAATAACTAGCAAATTTCCTTTCTTCGGAAATGTAAGTAATAATTTGAAATAGAAGCTCATCACGGCCATATACCTGGGCATATAACATGCACTGTTTTTATTTTTCGATAACGAAACTTCTTAGATGTTTTAAAATAATTTATTTAAAAATAAAAAACGTTTTCTCAGACATATATGGTACTATAAAATTTCCATGTCGGTAAATCCCACTCTTGAATAATTCTTTATATGCGTATTTTCCAATGTTCGAATACCCCAAATGATATTAATATGTTAAGATGAAATCGCTAATCTACTTGCACCAGCGAGAGTGTAACGACCTTCCTCTAAGGTCGTACGCAACACTGACCACGACCGTACTGTATCAAATCACCTGTCCCGCATCTACTGAGTACTACGCACCAAGTATGTCGCACAATGATCGTCTTTCTCTGAGCCTGATTGGTTTCAACATCACCTGAACTTTACCACACTACACAATATAGTATGGATGTATGTATATCTGTAGACATCCACATGCGACAGTAACCTAGCAGGACATTGACATATATTGGATTTGGTCCAAGATTAGGCTTCAACAACGTAGCTATTTTATAATCTAAATACTATATGTATTCAACTTCGATTAAAAAAAAATATCGTTATTAGAATTTGAAATTTGGAAGTACACAATCAGTGACCGCTTCTTGTACACAATACTGATCTCATTTGCAAACAAACGGTGACATATTTTTGGGTTCTACGGAAGTATTTTTGTACTTGTGATAAAACGGTGATAGCCATGCAGGTTTTGTGGACAAGTCAGTTACGATATCACTTTAAAATTTACGTAAAGTAAAAAAGTCATTGAAATGATATAAATTACAGGTTTTTCTTACTTTTTTTCTCACGGCCTACGCCATTACAGAACTGTTAAATATTTACACTTTATTTAGAAATTGCTTAATAACCTACTGTGGAGTTGAAAAATTGCATAACAAGAAACTTAACGTTTTGTTCTATTTTCAATTATAAAATCATATTAAATATCAGACCCACGTATTTCTCTTTGTAAATTTTATATCTATTGTTGCTGAAATTTCGGTTAAATATAATTTATTGTACTAGTTAATGAATTTTTATTGAAACAATGTTCTTGATTTTTACAGAAGGCATGTTTTTCAATGTCGTCAGGAAATCTATTGGTCCAATTTGCGGAAGAGTGAAACCTTGTTAAATTCAGCATTGTTAAAAATTCAGAGTAAACAAAAAATTATTATACTTTGCAACGATGAATATATTACAACATGCGCAATAAATTCAATTTTGTACAAAAAAGGGTAAAATCACTCACCTCCGGTTCCAAGTACTTTGAGTAAATCAAAGTGAGACATATTGACACGATCCACTCCAGAAAGATTAACTGCAACAAATGAAAAAAAAAAAAAAATCAGCACAAATGTCATCACAATATATATACAATATTGTATAATTTGAAAATGGGGTGTTTACTAGCTTGTAGATAAATTTGCTTTTTTTTTTGAGCACCAAATGACCTTGTTCATTTTTCACTCAAAGATAGAAACAAATTAAGAAGCACTAGAATTATCGACGTTTGTATCACATATTCAAGCACAACGACGTGAATCTAGTTCATTAAAATTTTAGACCTTTATTACTTTGATGACTCTTTAATATCTGCAGAGAGTATTCTGTTGGTTGTGATATTGTGCAACTTCGATTTATGATTTACCTTTTTAAAATAAAGTTATTACCATATTATAGGTACAAAAACAAATTTAGTAGCGCTAATTACATATTAATCAGTTGCAAGCACTTTCTCTTACTAATTTCACCATACTTGTTTCATTTACATCACTAAGAAATTGAGGAAAAAATACACATAAATAACCAATTATATAAAAACGTTTGGTAAAAATGAAACTTGTACCATTTACGACTTTTAATGTCCATCGTTTTCCGGTATTTTGACCGCTATGTTACTGCACGACTGCTAGTCAGATACCCACATCCTTGCAGACATCTGCCAGTTGTCAAGGTGCTAATTTTGATCTTGTTTTCAAGGGTGAATGCACTACCCCAACACCATGTAGGTAGGTATAACTTTTTATGTGTTCGTTCTGTGCAGATGGTGATTGTAGCTTAAAAAACAAAATTTACTTTTATTTATTTTTTGGAACAAATTTCTTTTATATATTAATAATTTTATATGTTAATATAATGAATGTCTATAATATATCGATCATTATTTAGCACGGTATTGTTAATAGATAACAAGCACGTTCAACATACTATAACTATTATTACTATATATTTTATATTACATTAGTGCTTGACAATAAAATGTAATCATTGCACGAAGAAGAACGCCATGGAAAACTTAATAAAAATAATGCTACTTTCGAAAATCATTAATTGGTAAATATCACCACCCAAATATTAATTTATGGTTTTAGTTTTTAAATTACTAGATAAATGAATATCAAGTTTTAACATAATTTACACATATTTATTTTTAATAGGTCTTTAACTCAATTCAGCAGCCAAAACGTTTAACTGATTCCTAGGAAATTACAAAGAAACGAAAAATAATAATAACTTGGGGACTAATTTTATTATACTCTTAGACTTTGTGTCACACTCAGCGCAAAACAACAATATAGATAATGTAAAAACTTCTACTTATAATTATTAACTCTGAAGGTCTGTTTTAGCACGTGTAAACTCACTGCGCCAGTTCAAGGCTTGCAGCGACAAAACGTATAAAACTTCATTGGAATACTGAACGTTATCATGTGATAGGAACATACTATTTATGACAAGATAAATACAACATTGCGACAAATCATATTTCTAAACCAAGTGATGTCCATATAACTGAAAGTTATAAACTTTTAATCACTTTTATATGCAACATTTTCGATAAAAAAAAATCACGAAACAAAGAAAAAAATCCCTTAAAGCTGGTCTGACGGTAGAGGCAGATCGGCGCAACTAAAAAAAAATACGTCGTTTATTAAAAACATTTAGATATCCATATACCTTCAAGTCAGCAGTCACAAATAACACCTTTCATTCTTCAATGATCTCCGTCAATGTAATAAAATAGAAATTTGATTTAGAATGTAGAATTGCACCTCGAATTGTCTCCATGCAACAACCAGGAAAATAAGGATACCGTATGGTGCAATTTTGTCCATCAATAAACTTATTTTTTAATATGTTCGTATTAAAAATTCACTTTGCTTATTATAGAAGAAGTGTGTCAATGTTATGTACATTTCGAAGAGAGGACACTTACTATAACGTTGTCCCCGTTAGTATTAAATCCAAGTCAGGTAATCAATATTCATTGGTGTTCTTACACCTCTCTCTTCACTCCAATTTACTTCAGTGTGTTTAGTGTAAAAGATACAAAAGTAAGCTCCACATGCACATGGAACATAAATATACATATATTCGTAATTAAATCCACTGAATTAACGCTTCCATTTCTTTAGTATTTGGCACCGAGAAATAGTGTGGAGAGTATATCATCATCAGTAGAAACTTTAATATTCATAGGATGGAATTAATATATTTCAATGAGGCGTTCTAAGAAGGACGTTTCCTTTGAATCATGAAGTTTAAAGAAATGATGCTTGAATAATCATATATTGAATATTATGTGAGACTGGAAGGTTTAACACACCTTTCACAATTTTACAACAAAACACGATATAGAATATTTGTTTGTGTGAAGTTTGCGATTTGTGAATACACATAAATGTAAAAGTAATTTCTAAAATCTGTACTGCACTAGACAGATGCATAGATAGTACGTCTCGAAAGTTAAATGTAGGATGGATCATGCTGACAATAACATCGAATATTAACATAGACCGCATCTATAACATACATGCTGTTATGGGTACTTATTGATACGAAAATGTCTCGAGGTTTAAATTTAAATGCAAGTAAGGCGGACAATATATTGTTATATTATTAATTAAGAAACTTTTGGTGTATTGCAAACCTTGGAGTGTTTGCACACAATTCAAGGTTGATAATGTTACCTAACGTATTTAGCTAAAAGTAAGGTCATCTGCAAAATATAAAATAACTGTACGTTTTGTAGCATGCCTTATCTGTTTTATAATTAAACAATAAAATTGGCATAAATGTAACTGATGACATTTTTACTTTATCGTCAATAAACCGATGAGGTATGTAATCAAGAATATCGTATTATAAGATGTGCACCTAATTCAACATTAAATGTATGTAATCTTTAAAAATGGCGAACCAAGATTCGGTTGATTTTTGACAACGAAGTATTAATTTCATTCTCGCAAGTTACACGCTGAACACTAAAGATGGATGTTATGTGGATAAAACTGGTGCAAGTGACAAAACAAATGCACTCCACCTTGAACGTGTCAGGTATTTTACGGAGGGCAACAACTAAGTAAAACACGGGAAAGGTGGAATGTGTGATTTCGTCCTGAGTTGAAAACCTATTATCTGTAACATTATTAAACATCTGTTCTTTGATTCAATCCCATGTCAGGTCAGGTCTCAGTTCTGAAAAACGCAATCCTGTACTATTGACGTGACAGAAATAATTCTTTTAAGTCAAAAATTTACAACAGCAAACAAAAAGGTATGTGTGTACGTATATTAAACAAGTTTTAATGTTGTTCGAAACATTTTTTATGGTCATTTTTATTAAAACTTAAAGTATACTGGAAAAAATCCGCTGAATGTTGTATTAGTAACTTCTAAAATTTTAAGGGCCAGTTTATAATTTTTCCAAACAAAATATTATCTAGAGTACACAAAGGGTAATAAGCTACATATACACATACATAGTACGTGCCTCATAAATTACTGTTTTAATAGTTTAGTCATGCACACAATAATAAAACGCACACAAAAATATTACTAAAATTTTATGCTTTTTAATACATTTATATGCATTTTCAAGCAGCTACGTTTCTACATAACAGAGCGGAATCAAAAGAACTCCTAATTTTGGTTCAACAAATAGTAGTTTAATTTTTAATGCAATTTTTTTAATAAGTACAGGAAGTCTTTCTTATTGCGTCAAGGACAAAATCAAACTGTATCCAAACATTGAAAGAAAGAATGTCTAATTTATGATGTGAAACTTACAATTTCCATTTCAGGAAAAAATCATCGCTTTTCATGACCTGCACGCAGATTATAAACACAAGGAAGAGACACTATTTTGGAGATTCCGACTTCTCTAGGCTATGCAGAATTCTGACATAAACAGGTACCGATCCAGGTATAACTTATATTGTCTTTTTCAAACTACCTGCATTACAGAAAATCTTAGTGTTGAGAGGCAGATCAGAGGCGTGTCGTCATCTAGTCGTGTTTTCAAAACAAATTGTTTTTCACTTCTTCATCTTTGGTGCATAACAAGAATTTCAGTTATAGCAAATTACTTTTATTTGTTGATTTATTGGCAATAATCAATCTTTTGGTTGACAGCGTTTCATACAGATTAAAATAGAATTATTTCCGGTACAAAAATTTAACGCACAACCCTGAAAAGGGTGGCAATCTTCAGCTACCTTTGACGGCACTTGCGGGTTTCAGCACGAAGCCATTTTTTTGAACCCTTACTCTTCTATGATCTCCCCTAGTCTGGTAGACGTTAATTTTATCATACGATATCTTTACGACTTGATTTAAATTTCTCAAATTCTTCAAAGTTAAGAAAAAAAGAAACAAAATCTACGAACGATGCTATGATTTTAAATTACAGCTGTTCTGTCTAAAATGCAGGCTCTTGTGAACTGACTGCTTTATAAATTTTTGTTGTTTTGATAAGAAAATATGTAGAAATGATATTATTTTATATATTAAAAATACTGAAAAAATATCTGCAGTTGTTTAGGTCAACGGGCCACAATAATTTATCGGAAGGCTTATTAATGATTTTTATTAAAAAGATACGTCAGTAATTTTTTGGTGGGGATAATATGAACAATCTTCACACTAGTTATGAAATAACTAAAATTTAAAAGAAATTAGCTAATACAAGTAAGCATCAATCACATTCCAAAGAAATTTTTCAAAAAAAATGTATTCTTTTTAGATGGCATCCTTACTTTTTTGGGGTAATAATTATGAATATATTAAGTAACTCTAATTTGCATACAATACCACCAATCATCTGTTTACCATATTCGATATAAACTTAAGAGTAGAGATAAACTACAGGAGGAATGATATATTTAATTACAATTCTTCGATCTCTGGGTTTTTTTGGACATAAAAATGAGGCTTTGGATACATAAATAAGAAGTGAATCAAGAGAAAGCTGCATTGAGTTGTAAAATCAAATCTACATCGTACTGAAGGTGCAAGTGTTATCTCTGTAATGTGATT